TGAGATGAAGGTCAAAATGGGAAACAACAAATCTACGTAAGCTTCAAAGTATATAATCTTAAACATCAAGAGTACACCTTTAACAATTATTCCACATAAAAAAGAAAGTTTATTTACATGTATTATTCATAGTAATAATAAAATCTGCCTTAATCATAACAAGAGTGCACACGCTGAAATGTCTCGCCTTCTTTACTAATCATTGATATTATGTTGATAGTCCTAAATATAAAGCTTTATTACAACTGTCACATAAACTTAACATTAACCAAGTAAACTAAACATTGACCAATGAACCATGAAAATGAGGTCAAGGTCAGATGAACCATGCTAGGCAGGCATGTACAGCTAACAATTCTTCCATACAACAAATATAGTTGACCTATTGCTTATAGTTTAAGAAAAACAGACCAAAACACAAAAACTTAACACTGAGCAATGAACCTTGAAAATGAGGTCAAGGTAAAAAAAAACTGTGTGACTGACAAATAGATCATAAAATATTTCCATACACCAAATATAGTTGAACTATTGCATATAGTATTAGAAAAAAAGACCAAAACTCAAAAACTTAACTTTGACCACTGAACCATGAAAATGAGGCTAAGGTCAGATGACACCTGCCAGCTAGACATGTACACCTTACAATCATTCCATACACCAAATATAGTAGACCTATTGCATACAGTATAAGAAAAACAGACCAAAACACAAAAACTTAACTATATCCACTGAACCATGAAAATGAGGTCAAGGTCAGATGACACCTGCCAGTTGGACATGTACACCTTACAGTCCTTCCATACACTGAATAAACTAGACCTATTGCTTATAGTATCTGAGATATGGACTTGACTACCAAAACTTAACCTTGTTCACTGATCCATGAAATGAGGTCAAGGTCAAGTGAAAACTGTCTGACAGGTATGAAGACCTTGCAAGGTACGCACATACCAAATATAGTTATCCTATTACTTATAATAAGAGAGAATTTAACATTACAAAAAATCTTACTTTTTTTTCAAGTAGTCACTGAACCATGAAAATGAGGTCAAGGACATTGGACATGTGATTGACGGAAACTTCGTAACATGAGGCATCCATAAACAAAGTATGAAGCATCCAGACCTTCCACCTTCTAAAAATAAAGCTTTTAAGAAGTTAGCTAATGCCGCTGCCGCCGCCAGATCACTATCCTTGTCGAGCTTTCTGCGACAAAAGTCGCAGGCTCAACAAAAACTTATTGATTTTAGCAAGTCATTAAAGCACGAAATTGACTTCAGAACCACTCATACACCAAACTGAAACTTCTGATCTAGACTATAAGCCATAAATATGATTTGTCTAACACCTTTATCTTATGAAATATTAAGCTTTTTTGATTATTTTTTAAAGCCGCTGATAAGCATTCATGAGTTTCACATTCTATGATTTTTGTTGCAGACAAAACGATACAGAGAAATGATTATTTGAGCTGATAGTATATTACTTTTCAATATTAATTTTTAAGTTTTAGTTTGAATAGAGCAAAGTTGGTTTTTTTAAAGAGTACATTTTTCGATTGGAAAAACAAGCGCTAAAATTTGAAAATTTGATTGAAATTTCAAAACTACTACATACCCTTCTAAATTGGCTTCTTGTAACTACTCTTTCAATATTCCATCTTATTACTATCTAGAGTATATATTTCAGTCATATAAGGTTATAGGTAGGATTCTTCTTCAAAGTGCACATCTTATATTGGTGACTTATTTGTAGCTTTTCTAGATGAGTGCAAAACAGTCATGTCAAATTATTGCATTTTTTATATGCCATCTGGCATTAACTAAAATCCAAGCTTGAAACAAAGCATTTGCCAAAACATCTGTCTTGTGAACTTGACCTTTGCCCTACTCTCCCAAACATAAACTAGAGGCTCTCAAGAGCCTGTGTCGCTCACCTGATTTTACTTTGGTTTTGGAAATCATGTAAAAATAGATTAAAATCATAACAGATACCCTAATAATGATTGAGGCCAAATTTGGTTTAATATTAGCCCCGTAATTTAATCAAAAGCAGAAGACTTTTGTAAAGTTTACAGAAATTACCAATAAATTCATTGAAAAAGTAGAAAATGACTTTATAAGGACAATAACTCCAACAAGATGTCAATTGACAATATTGCTCATGTTGACTCATGTGTAGATCTTTTTTCTTGATATTTTTGCAGTTTACAGTAGATCTCAATCTATAAAAATACATGTATTAAGGTCTTCATCAGCACCTCATAAGGAACATTTATGCCATGTTTAGTTTCATTCCATTCAGTGCTCCTCTAGATTTGTATGTATTTCCCATAGGGTCTTATGTTAAACTAAGTCCCCTGCTGGCGGCCATCTTGGATGATGGTTCGACTACAAAGTAACAACACTTGGTCAGCACCTCATTAGGAACATTCATGCCATGTTTGGTTTCATTCTATTCAGTGGTTCTCTAGAAGAAAACATTTGTATGTATTTCCCATAGGGTCCTATGTTAAACTTACTCCCCCTGCTGGCAGCCATCTTGGATGAAAATCAGCTACAAAGTAACCACACTTGGTCAGCACCTCAAAAGAAACATTCATACCATGTTTGGTTTCAATCCATTAAGCGGTTTTCTAGAAGAAGACACTATTCCAATTATTTCAGTTTATTTATTGTAATATGACTTAAGCTCAGTTTGATGAAGATATGGTTTGTATATCATCATCTGTAAATCAAATTTTATCTCAATTTCAATCTATCAATTGCTTCTGTGACCTTAAATTTGAACTAAGGACCTTGAAACCAATAAGGGGTTTTTCAATTCAGTGGGGCATTATTTAACCAAATTGGGTAATAGTTGGACTATGGTGCAAAGGAAAACAATGGAAATTTAAATTATGGCCAATTTCAGACTATGAATTGCTGTTGTGACCTTTGACCTAGTGAGTTCACAATAAATAGTGATCTTCCTCACCCAATGAGGCATTTTGAAAGTTTGGTGAAGATATTATCATGGCTTAAAATTTGTTGTTCCGAAATCAAAATGTTGACTCCAGATGCCCAGATTTCATACATCACATTTTAAGCAACTCAGCTAAAAATCAGAAATGGTATGTTATAATAAAATGCTCCGCTGGGCGCAGCTTGATACGACCGCAGAGGTCGAACCCTGAACAGTTGGGGCAAGTATGGACACAACATTCAAGCTTGATACAGCACTGAATTTGGATTGTGATTAAATATTTGACACAGCACAGGTTTCTGACACAGAATGAATGTGGTCTAAGAACTTAAAATTTTTTAATTTACCTATTCAAACCATATCATTATTATTTGCTTTTATATATAAATCAGAAAAACCAATTTAAAATGGAAAATTTTAAAGAAAAAAAAATCCCCCCCCCCCCCCCAATTTTTTGAACCCCCGTATGATTCATCACCCCCAAACTCAATCCCAGCCTTCCCTTTGTGGTATGGTACCTGCAGTACAATTTCAGAGAGATCCATACACTTGAACACAAGTTATTGTCTGGAAACTAGAAAAATGCTTGTTTTTTGGCCCCAAATTCCTAAACGTTTAGGGCAATTACCCCCAAACTCAAACCCAGCTTTCCCTTTGTGATATGGAACCTTGTAGTACAATTTCATAAAGATCCATACACTTACACACAAGTTATTGTCCTGAAACTAGAAAAATGCTTGTTTTTTTCCCCTTTTTTTGCCCCTAATTCCTAATATTTTGAGGCAATTACCCCCAAAATCAATCCCAGCATTCCCTGTGTGATATTGAACCTTGTGGTACAATTTCAGAAAGATCCATACACTTACACACAAGTTATTGTCATGAAACTAGAAAAATGCTTGTTTTTTGCCCCTTTTTTGGTCCCTAATTTCTAATATTTTGAGACAATTACCCCCAAAATCAATCCCAGCATTCCCTGTGTGATATGGAACCTTGTGGTACAATTTCAGTGAGATCCATACACTTGAACACAAGTTATTGTCTGGAAACTAGAAAAATGCTTATTTTTGGCCCATTATTCCTAATCGTTTTGGGCAATTACCCCCAAACTCAATTCCAGCTTTCCCTTTGTGATATGGAACCTTGAAGTACAATTTCAGAAAGATCCATACACTTACACACAAGTTATTGTCATGAAACTAGAAAAATGCTTGTTTTTTGCCCCTTTTTTGGCCCCTAATTCCTAATATTTTGAGGCAATTACCCCCAAAATCAATCCCAGCATTCCCTGTGTGATATGGAACCTTGTGGTACAATGTCAGAGAGATCCATACACTAACACACAAGTTATGTCTGGAAGTTACAAAAATGCTTATTTTTGGCCCCTAATTCCTTAACTGTTGGTACCATAACCCCCAAAATCAATCCCAACCTTCCTTTTGTGGTATTGAACCTTATGGTAAAATTTCATAGAGATCCATTCACTTAAACTAAAGTTAGAGTTCGAAAACCAATGTGTCTTCGGACGACGACGCCAACGTCATACCAATATACAACTGCAAAAATTTGTTGTGGTCGTATAAAAATGTTTTTACAAGAACGTAATGAACAACTGACTTACAAAGACAGAACAAGGAAAATGCTGACAAAGGCAAAACTAATTCCTCTTACCACTTGTTGGCAAGGGCGATAAAACACACTAACAAATCTTTTCACATGTGGTGACCACAATTTGCACTACCAAGTATATTTACCAAGTTTTTTAAAAACTTTGAACCACCAGTCAACATTATGATATGTCTCTAAATTTTGGACACATTGCTCTTAGCAAAGTTAACTTTGCTACAATTAAAATATGCTGCAATTACAAAGTGGCTGGTAGAGCACTTATAAATAAACATCGTTATCTTAACTACACTACATTGAATTGGTCATCAGTCAATTTACAGTCAACAAGCCAAACATAACTCTTTTTTTTGGGTAAATTATAGAGCATATCTTTGTAGGGAAACCAGGGAAAAATAAAACTGATGAAGACTTATTCTTATTTTTTATTTCATTTGTAAATGAATTGTCAACAACCAGATTGGAATGTCTACAATAATTAACAATTTATACAAAATTACACACAAAATAATTCCTATTCTACCACACTGAAAGATCACAAATTGTTGGAGATTCAATCAAATATCCAAATGTAAATGTGTACAAAGATTCTACTTATTGTTTTTGGAAATGCATTTGGATGAAATTTGAACAAATGCAAAGAAATTTTATAAATTTAAGTATTGCTTTGCAATAAAAAAATGTAAAACATCAGTCAACAATACAATTACATATTCTTGTCTCGTTTCCTCCTCTGAATCAAACAATCTTTTCTTTTTTTTTCAAATAAATTTGTTTCCTGTTATCTATGTTCCCTCCCTTTTGGACATTGAACTAATACACATTACCATGTAACAATGTAAAAAGAAACCAAACTAACAACTTAAAATATTTGATTTAGAATACTGATGGGTAATTGTTTTACCACATGATTTTAGTGCAGCAACACAGAAAATATGAAAGAATTTCTTCTATAGGGTTGGTTTCATCTTTGCCACTCAAAAAATCCTCTTATCGACAACTTCATATAAAATATAGATTATAATACTAAGATTTTAACAAATATTTCATAAAAATAAGATCTAATAACAAGTCTTATAACTTTGTAATGCTGTATTTTACTTGAATTCTTATTAAAATTAACAATGTAAGCACTAATCTGAAAAGTATCCTTAACTCTTCTTTATTTCTATGCCAATGAGACAACTCTCCACCAGAGACCTAATGACATCAGTAATAAATATATAGAAACAGAACATTAATATAATGGAATATGTAGACAGTAGTGTAGTTATATGACGTGGATTTTCTTACATTGATATTTTTTTTGCATTTAAATTCACATTTTCATATATTCACAATATTTCCTTCTTAATATAAATATGGTTGTCCAAAATGCATCCTAACCTCTATCCCCCCCCCCCCCCCCCCCCCCACAAAAAAAATAAAAAAAAATAAAAAAACAAAAACGTGAAGTTTTTGCCTCCTTTTTTATCAGGGTCATAAACTGTCCAATGTTTTTCCATACAAATCCTTCTCTAAAGCCATGCCTTCAAAATAAGATCAGTTAAATAACCTGTCACGCAGTTCATTGTTCATTAATAGTAACAGTACAGTGTATTATTAAACAAATATAAACACTGGCTAAACTTTAAATACAGCTTGTATAATATACAGGCTTGTTCTAGTTTTTATATGGGCCTTTTGATTCAGTACATGTTAACTAACAACTTTCTTAGGGATTTAAATATGTAAACTAATTTTGAAACAAAAATGAGACCAGAAGGGAAATTAAAACATAATTTAGTTACTTTCCATTTTGATTGTACTTTAATAATACAATTATCTTCAAATCAATATAAGGAAAATTAAACAATTTCATTACTAGGTTCTGTCATAAATGTTGTAATCACGTACGTTAACAATCAAAATATGCTGCATTAAAATTATATCACGTTTTGTGTTTAATTTCAGGATCAATAAAAAACAACAAATATCTTTAATCTGTTGTTAATATTATTGACAAAAACAGTAATACAATTTATGTAAATTAAACTTTCTAAATTTGTGTAACACATATTACAAAACAGTATATAAATATTTATGAAAAATTGTAAAAAGACGATATATATTAAAAAATATTTTCCTAAGATTTCTCCACAGAAAAAGTGTATATGTTAGCATTGAAATTATCATAATGAAATTTATCTAGAGAGGATAAATATATGTACTTTATTCTCAAAGTACATGTATACATAAATATGAAACAGAAAATCTGTTCTTCAACATTGTTTTCAAGAATTAAAAATGAAACCACATCATAAAATATCACAGCCTTGTTAATTCAGATCACATTTATGTATATATACAAAAAAATAAATATTAAATTACAGAAATCAGAGGCTCACAGTATCACCTGATTGGGATGGGACTCAAACTAAAAAATAAAAGTCTCATCATCACCATTGCTAATGTTTTTTCCCTAGCCAATTTTCGGATTTCTTGTCTGTACATCCATCAACACTGAACACTTTCTGTAACAGCTAAAGGACCAGAAAACTTACCAAAATTAAAATAATAAAACCTAAGTAAACTAACTAAAAAAATTAATTGCCTTATTAATAAGCAGATATTATAAAGAAATGAGTATGGAATAATAAAAATCATTCTTTGCACATCATAAATTCAATCCTTGAAATAAGTTCTAAACATATAAGTGATTCAATATTTTTCATGTTGAATTTACTGGTAATTTGACCTACTTCATATCAAACTAATGAGCTTTATATAAAACTGTAAATGTATGCATGAACAGTTGAACATCATCCAAATATGACTATGTTTGCATTTTCAGAATGAGGAGAGTTGAGAAGTTGCAACACTTTGCCTATTCAAATTTTGGCTGTCCTATCAGTTTTTAATTGGTTGCCTGTTTTTTGTTTCTTTATAGGCTAATGATTTTGCTACAAGTTATCATGTCCAAATTAACAATCTGTATTCTTTTATTTAGTTGGTTTAAAGTGACAAAGATGCTTGAGAAAAGGTTGATATAATCTGAGTAAATGGGGGTGGGGGGAGGAATTTGGTTTCAACCAGCCAATGCATACTATAAGTTAAAATAATAAAATTTCACAGATGGATGAGTCTTTTTACAGATGAAAAGTTATGGCAAAAGCTAACACAATCTTTATGCCATGAAATCTTACAAATAGCACTTATAACTAATCTGGGGAGTCTAGAAACTTTTTAACAAGGTTTCAGACAATTTTCTCATTATTATCAATAGTACATTTCTGTTAATTATTAAAGTTACATTAAAAAATAAATCATAAAATCAACAAATGTATTCACACTTGCACCAATATGACAATAAGGGTTGTTTTTTTAAAATATGATAATCACATTTTTAATAAGAAGAAAGGAGTAGGACCGGTAAGGGCCGATTTTGGCCTCAAATTTCAGGTTCATCTGATGAAAGATTTTGGACACTTTTTAAACACTTAAGTGTCTACTTCAGTCGATTCAATTAGTTAATGTGAAAGATTTTAACTGATTTAGTCATTTCAGACGCTCAAATTCAAGCTTAAATATGAAAAATCGATCAAATATGCCATAATATATCACTTTTCAGATGGTTTTTGTCAAAAATGAAAGTGGCCGCATCCGTGTTCACTCTCACCCTTTATATATGTTATGTATTATCATCAAATACAACTTACATTTCAATATAAAGAATGAACACAAATGCGGCCACTTCCATTTAAGACAGAAACCGTCTAAAATTTAACTCAAATGCTACAGTTGTGAAGATTTCAGTAATTTACCCTGAATTAATGATGTTAGTACTCGATATATGTGCATTGTATTGTCAAAAAAAGCCCGAATTTATGTAGCAGAAGTATTCTACTTTTCAATAAATAGCTAAAAGTTTACATTTTAACAATTTTGTAAAACTGCTATATTTTGGGTCCAAAAAGGGGTCTTACTGGACCTACTCCTTTATAATACCGGTAATCAACATTTTTTATAACAAAATATTTATTCATAATCAACATTTTCAATATAATTTACTGGCTCATTAATATATACCCCAGGTCTTGCTGGAAATACGTTATCAGCTTACATGATGTAGACAAACTGTCAATATCAATACATGCTACAGGGGGTTTAGCATGTTGTACCATTTATGTCAAGAAATTTTGATTACTATTTGCTGAAAATGCTATTTTTTTTACATTTAAATGTGTATGTTTATTTCAAATGAAGGAGCCTATGTATCTGGCAAATGAGAAACAAAAGAAAGGGACCAACATCTGAAACAAATCTCATTTCATGGCTTATGAATAGATCAAGCATAATTTATAGTGATACTAAATATCGAGAAGCTATAAATAGTACTTCCTAAAAAATGTCACAGCAATTTTATATTTAAGTATTAACCTTGGAAGAAAATACATGAATTTGACAAAAACAAAGTTGACAAGAGATGATTGACCTAAAAATGTGTTATTGGGTAAAGCTACATGTTTAAGGAACTTTTAAAAATGGCTCTCATGATCTGTAGCTGCATGTGTACAACAATGTAAGTGTAATAACATGTATTTAACAAACATTAGGTACACAGGCAAATGATCCGAAAAACTTGTCACACAGTTTAAATTGTCCAAAAAACATTTTGTACCATTTACTCACAAGCTTAGTCTATTGTGTGATAGATAGAAAGACTGGCACATATATTAGAAGGAAAGACAGAGGTAAAACCAGTATTCCTGGTCCTTTAGAGCAGGGGTACAGGAGCAAAGACAGAAGTAAACCAGTATTCCTAGTCCTTTAAAGCAGGAGTATAGGAGCAAAGACAGATGTAAACCAGTATTCCTGGTCCTTTAGAGCAGGGGTACAGGAGCAAAGACAGAAGTAAACCAGTATTCCTGGTCCTTTAGAGCAGGGGTACAGGAGCAAAGACAGAAGTAAACCAGTATTCCTAGTCCTTTAAAGCAGGAGTATAGGAGCAAAGACAGATGTAAACCAGTATTCCTGGTCCTTTAGAGCAGGGGTACAGGAGCAAAGACAGAAGTAAACCAGTATTCCTAGTCCTTTAAAGCAGGGGTATAATTACTACCAGTATTTGTTTCATGATAATCATTCATTTAAAGATAATCTCAGCACTTTCAATAGATTTTTACCTCATAATAATCAATATTTTAACCACTTATTTTTATACTCAGGAAATCTGTAAGGTTTATAGATCAATTTTAGTTAAAAGCTATTGCTACATAAAACTTGCTATTACATGCATAAGATTTGTGTATACAATTTAATGACAGGATCATTGTTCTTCACTACCAATCTATTTAGCAATTGTCAGTAGATTTGTTTACTTCTATTACTCTTGTGTATTGGTAAAGAAAACATGATTTCCCATTTTCCTTACTCTTCTTCGAATTCCATTTCAGTAGAAATGTTTTATAATCTTTTTTATTACTGAATTTGCCAGTTTTAATGAAAATTTAACCATCAATTTGTGTAATTTTGAAAAAGTTAGAAAAAAATTAATAACATTTCCTGTAAAGAGGAAATTCAATTTGCAATGTATTATTATTTTGAATTTTATACTATAAACTAATCAATTTTCATGAATAATTTAAATTACAAAGTTTATCCTTGTCATCAAAATACTGATCTCAGAAGAGCCAAACAAAAATTAATACTGATCACAAATAAAAAAGAAGTTTTGGCAGTTCCCTTTTTTTCATACTTCAATTACATGCCACATGGTGACATGAAGAATAAAATAATTACTAATCTAAAAGTGACAATCATCATAATATAACACAAAGTTTGGACTGTTTCTGTTGTGCTGCACCAGGAGCTGCATCCCGAGGATTAATACTCTGATTCAGTTTTTGTTGGGACTCTTCAGACTCTAGCATACCATGACTTTTCTTCTGTACTCGGTGTAGTATTATTCTGTAGGCACCAGTGATACTGCTGCGAGAATCTCTATGTCCTGATTTAAAATGTTCATCGCTTATTCCTAAATCTAATAAAATTTGACGAGTTTCTTTTTCTTCTGTTGATAGTTCACCATTATTATGGTTTGGATTAAGATTATAGGGCTCTAACTCTTCTGGGAATTCACAACCTTCTAACCACTCACTTTTTTCTATTTGTTCGAGTGTAAATCTGTCCTGTGGAATTGGTTTGAGAATACTTTTAATTAGAAACTGACATGTAGTAGACACATATGAAGGTATTGTATAAGCACCATCCAATATACACTTTTTCAATTTAGCAACAGTTTCTGCACGAAATGGCATAATGCCAGTCACCATAAAATATAACATTATTCCTAAAGCCCAAATATCCACATAGATTCCATAATAATTCTCATCTTTAAATAACTCTGGAGCTGCGTAAGGAGGTGAACCACAGAAAGTATTGAGAGTTTGATCTACACGACTTATTGTACTAAAACCAAAGTCTCCAATTTTAACAATATTTGGTCCTGCGTAGAACACATTTTCTGCCTTAAGATCTCTGTGAATAATATGGTATCTGTGCTGTAAAATAAAAATCCTAATTACTTTTGAAATAGGACACATTAAATTAAGTTTGATTCTCATATGGAATATGTGTTGTAAAATAAAAATCCTAATTACAGTTGAATGGAACACATTAAAAAGTTCACTTGATAGTTTCTTTCGTATACAGAAAACAGTGATGGTGTTATGAATTTGAAGTACAGAATTTGAAAAAAAAAGAAAATTAAAGAAAAACTATAATGATTTTTAAAAGCCATACATAGGATGTCTGAACATTTTTTAAGACATGTAAATCTAATCATTTTATTCAGTACATATTTTGCTACTATAATTACTGGAGGGAGATGAGGTATGAAAATATATATACATGTAGTTATCTATATAAAAACTATAATACAATAACTTGGAATGCATACCAATGTTGATTTTCTTCATTATATAATATGCGATATAAAAGGTAAATAGGCTGATCACTATGGTCACAATGTTTAACTGTCCTGGGGGTACAATTGATCAAACTTAATAAAGTGCTCAAGATTCTTCTGTATCTGTTTATAATAAACAGTCAGATTTACTCTTCACATGAAAAATCTTTAGGTTGATGACATTCAAGTTGTCAAGTATTTTCATAAATTACACAATCTTTTAACAAGGTATTTAAAATTAAAATCTATATTTTCATTTTTTTAAATCCATTAAAAAATTGGTGTTCAGGTACTCGTTATACTTTGCCCCATTTAAATCACTGCATCAATATGATATAACAAGTGCCATTAGCTATCTCATATTGAGCTGCATGGGAATACTCCATCAATTCATAATTTAGTACATTATGTCTGATCAAAGTCTTTTCCTTGGTTTTGATTAATTACAGCATTAATAACATAAAAGGCAATATATTCTCATAGTAGTAAAATAATTTTTTAAAATGTACGTGCTCAAACATAAAAGTTAACTTTAGGTATGACGAAAATACTTCATTTTAATGTTACACCCAAATTTTTTTAGTGGTCTGGAACTGACTTATCATGTAATTGATTTTTTTTATGTATAAAGATATTTATAAAAATCAAATAAAATTTCCTAATGTGTCTGCAAAACAAGGATGTAAAACCGTTTAAGAACTTCCCTTTATAAAAAGTAAACACAAGTGGACCAAAACAAGCAAGATAAGTTATTAACAACTGTGATTTACCATAAAGTATATTTACTGTAGTGGTAAATTATCAATGACATTTTTTATACCATTACATTGTGAAACATAACTTGGTTAATTTAGTGTGAAAAGTAGGTCACAATGACCCAAATGCTGTGGAATATGTGTAAAGATATGAGAGTAAATCTATTTTTCATGGAGATGTATAAAACCTACATCAAGTTTTCAAAATCAATTCCAAGGAGGACTCATTTACACAAAATTATAACTGTAAGCCTGGTATCTTTGATGAATTTTTTGTTAATGGCTAAATAGTTCACAAGTGATCCAATAATTCAGCACTAAACTATTAGAGCTATCAATCCTAATTCCTATACAGCGTAGAAAGTGAAACACACAAAAAAGTTATTATTTGAAAATTGTCCAATCAAAATCATGAGCTTTGTTCTGACTGGCATAAGATGACTTGAAGGATTTAATTTTTGGCAGAAATCAATTGTCAATCACTTTGATGAAAAACAGAATGTTTAGGAATCATACATACCATATGACTAACTCCTGCTACAACTTGAGCCATAATACTTTTAGCCTCTGATTCTGCCATCTTTCCATCATTTGATATCTTATTAAAAAGTTCTCCTCCTCCTGCATATTCCATTACAATGTGCATTTTTGCTAATGTCTCTACTACCTCGTATAAACGTATAATATTTGGGTGATGAAGTCTTTCCATACTTGATATTTCACGAGAAAGAAGTCTCTGTGTTTTCTGATCTAGCTTTGTTTTATCTATTATTTTTATTGCAACTTTTTCTGAAAATAGATCAATATTAATGTGTAAAATATAATACAAATCAGAAGTTCTAAACATAGTAATAGAGACATGGTGTATTAATTCATGACACGAAATCCCTTGAAAGCACTTGATAAAATCCAAAGCAAAGATACAGCACTGTTATTGTTGTGTAGATGTTGAGATCTGTAAAGCTGTACATTGAAGTACACAGATGTGGAATAATATTAACAGATTACAGAGTATAATGGGAATAGAAATCTTAAAAACACTGTTAAATTTGGCTTGACTGTATGAGAACCTTGGCTTCATATCATTTTTTTAAATATTTCTAGTAATTTAACTTGAATGATCTTGAATAGTAGAGAAACATTCTTTATTTACTATAAGTTTTAAAAACAGTTGTATAAATGCTGTCAGGTCTGGCTATTTCATGTTTGTCCCTAAGAAATTCAACTAAAAAGGGCACCACAAATTGGTTTGACAATTTTTTTATTTATTTCACTGAAACAGTCTTCAAAAAATGATTATCAACTTTTTAATACGGAAGATTCCATTAATCAAAAACACAGATACACTTTCTATTATCATGTATTTGCATGTCAAATTTACATGCAGTTAAAATAGAACATTCTCAAATCCAAACTCTTTATATGCAAAACAACAGCAATCCAGCTATTCATTTTAAGCTGCAGCTTTTTCAGTTCATATTTTTTCTTTCAATTTTCTTTCTTTTTTTTTTTGGAGCAAAACATTATAATCTTTATCTGGTCATCAAAGGTTTTTGAACTTGTATTGTGATATGCTGATGTCATAAATATCTATTATATTCATTTTTAAAAAGCTAGTAATATTTAATTTTTTTATCTTGTTTTGCATGTGGACAGGGTTTCATATAATTCTTCAGGTCATTAAAGCAATAAACTGCCAGGTATATAACTAATCTTAAGTAATCTTATTATAGGCTGTGAAAACTATTAACTACCCTGGCATCATAAAATACATAACTGCAAATAAAATTAAAATTAACAAGGGCAATTCAAAATGGTCAGATCCTCTCAAAATTCCTTGTATTTGAATAGCTGTTTTTAAATTTGGTGCCCTTGACCTTTGAACTATGATGTACAGTTTGAGTTTGGGCAGTTTCTGTGATGTCTTATATTAGAGGTGATTCCTTTGGTTTTACAATGATTTTAATGGGGTTCATCATATTCTCATTGAAAACCATTGTGCCTGGTTTGATGAAAAGTGGACATTAAACAATAAAGTAAAGTCTACAAGCTTTAATATCAATGCAGTCTGTCAGTTTACGTATACATTTATCATTGACCTCTGACATTGAAATTCAAGTTTTCCTTTTTTGCTAACCTTTGCACCATCTTTTGTGAATATATGAGGTAAAATGCGCAAGGTGTATAGAACATAAAAAACTTTTTCTAAAATCTCATCAGGTGACCTTGACCTAAACTTAATTCTTCTTGCCCTTTTGTTTCCAGACTTTTTTTCTTCAAAATATTCAAATTTAACAGTCCTATCCATCCAAGAAAACACAGTTAAATTTATCCAATTGTCATTTATTTTACAAATATAAATAATTATTTTTTACAATAAAAAAATTTACATTGAATAAGCAAAAAATGACCTGTTATCACCTTCATTTCTACTTTTGTAACAATAGATATTCAATATTTACTGTATGTAACAGTAATCTGTGCTGACTTATTAACCAAGAAGGAAAAAATTAACACCTCTGATGAATGCAATATGAGACATAATCTTCAAAAGGAAGAGTCAAAAGATCAGCCCATTTTTTGGGTTTCAATAAACATTCTGTTGTCAGACTCATGCATATCATTATGTACAAATGTTTTATTTAAAAGACAATTTTACTTAACAAAGAACAACTCAAAAAGATATTTTAGCATATACATCACTGGAACCCATTAGCACACTATAAGGCTATAGTTTAAGCAATTATAACAACTAAACATCAAATATTAAAAACAAAAGAAATAGGATTGGGGGTTACATCTTTTTTTTATTCCCCAGCAGGTAAATAAAATGCCATGAGACTGCTCTCAAGTAAAATGAAGTACTGATGGCAATGTAGCATAAAAGTATATCTAATTCAAACTTTGACAATCATATTGTGCTCTGTTTCATTAATAAAATACAATACATATTTCATGTAGCTGAAAACTGATCAAATTAACTTTGGTGTCACAATCAAAGACCAAAGCAGGGAAAAAAAATTAAAAGACAAATTAGAAAAACAGAATGCCTAGAACAGAATTAAAATATCTATTCTGCTAGTCAATACTGTCATATTTCTCATCACCAAATCAATGCAGTTCACACGTGAATTCCCTACTAAAACACTGATTCTGTTAAGTAAATATATTTACCCTGGACACATTAACGTTCTTGTATAATTAATCAGAGGACTGGTGCCATTGAAGATATATAATACAGTGAATATTAACCAAAGTCTGATGTATAATATACAGTTATCAAAATACCCAATAAGCTTTTCTGGATAAATCTTCATCAGAATGCTCAGAACCAAATGCATTAATATACATAAAGCTACAAAATGGTTTAAACAGATAGTCTAAAAAGTGATTTCTTTTTTGACTAGCCGTTTGAAACATGGTTAGTTTTAAACAGGGTACACTCTGATTTCGTAGATCATTTATGACTTGTCTTATTTTTGCTTGTGGTAATTAATATCAATCAGTCAATCAAAGACAAAGGTTCAAAATTTTACCAATGTTATTTAAGGTAATGAACACTCAAACTAAGGTCCCCTAATTGGTCCAATAAAAATCTGACAGTACACAAGTTTATGTAAATGTAATTATTGTATAATATCTGAGAGCCAAAAGCTTCAACTACCACAGGAAATGAAGCCTCTTCCATATAACATATATATATGCAAGACAGATTTAAATTCCTTGCAACAAATAGTGTTGACCATATTTCATGCATAGCTCCTAAGAACCAGCCAGATCTCATTCTGAAAACTGGAGCATGATATTGAAGTTAAGGCCATATGACATATAATCTTAGCAACCAATCTACAAACCATCTTTCCTATATATGCTCTATTGTATAAACTAAGTTCCCTCCATTATTTACTTGGTAAGTAACACACAAGGAACTTTTCTTCCATATTATGTTTCAATTATTTTTTTATTTACATATAAAGTTATGGCAAAGTTCATGGTACAATGTATACTTAGTGAAACACAAACGTTGTTTAGATAAAGAAAAATAATAGGTTCATTACTGCATAATGTGAAAAAGATTTTTGTGAAAGTTTTATAGATATCCTGTCCGTTGTACCAGATATATAAGAGAAACACCATAAATCATTGGTTTGTCCTGCAGATCAACAAATAGTTTCAAGACACTGTTCCATTCACCTCTTGTGTTTTTAATTTTTTTCAACATATTTTTGTCATTGCCTTCTTTCCTGGACAAGAAACAGGGAGAATCTAGGATACAAAAGCCTTGTACCCTGGTGTTTCTTGCAATACTGCAATCATTTGTGAAGTCACTGCTGTTTCCTCAGGCCTTGTCATTGACAGTCTATATAAACCTTAAACTGAATTCCAAACTCATCTACATGTAAGCAACAACTTTGTTCTACAAACTTGTATTGAGAATTTGTGTTCTATACTTTGCATTGAATATGTTGTTTGTAGCAGTACCTGATTATATATAAAAATATGATTGTTTATTGTAGGTCCATTATTGGTATAGTAAGATATTTGATATTTGATCTAATCATTGGATCAAAAACAAATTAGCAGGTTCACAATAACATGTGAGAATCTGTGAGTTTCATTGAAATCTAATCAGTGGTTTTGGTGGAACTGCAGATAAAAGATGGATGAGTAAAAAATCTAAAGGACTTAATAAGTTTCATTTAAGGGCATACAATACAGTTATGATCCCACTGTGATTTTTTTACAAAAATTTGCATGAAAGCTATTTTTCACCTATTCAATTAAAATATGCAATAAAAAATATATTATAATGTGCTGCTTTTAGAGATAAATTGAGTTGAAATTTTAGATATTTACTAAAAATTTTGGTTTCTTTGACAATTCTATCCTTCTGACAGATATACCTAACTTTTTGTTACAAAAAATAAACACAAGCCGATTTTTGTGAAAATTATTTGGAATATCTTTTTTACATAAGTATGATCTTAATTTGTGTAATAATTCTTTGGAAATAATTCATTTTATTTATTCTTTTTAAGATTAAAAAAAAAACAACAACAACATTTTTCGCTGTATATTTATCTAATTTAAAAAAAAATCATGTGATTTGTTCATAAAAATGTTACAAATAATCTTCATACATTATCAAGCCAAATGTCTTTTTAAAAAAGAGGGGTCCATGTACTTGTTTTCAAGCTAATGTTTAAAATCAGTCGTCAAATGCATCTTTCTCAATATGTCAAAGTTTGACATCACAAAAAATAACATTTTATGTTAGCAACGTCATTACCTCTACTGTACATTTTTGCAATTGTGTCATATGACCTTAAGATAGAAAATTAATATCTGAAATTATTTACAAATCACTGTTTAATTAAAACTGTCTTCAGTGGTTAAAATATAAACTTTCATGTCTCCAATTGATAATCCAACACTGCACCTTCTTCATTTTCATAGTACACATTTATGAGAGTAATGTAAGAGAGTAGAAAGTTAACCTTTAAATCATGTAAATGAAGAATTATTTAAGGATAAAATGGAAAAAAATAATAAATATTTACAACATATATCTTATACCAAAAAAAGGGATATCTTGAAAAAATATTTTTAAACATTTAAATTACCTTTGACTAGTGCGTGGATTCCCATTTTAACTTGAGAAAAATTTCCACTCCCTAATTCTCCACGAATTCTGTAAAACCCAATCCTTTTTCCTAAAGTTATTTCTTTCAAGCATCTTTGATCATTTGTTAAATCAAATGAAAGGCGTTCGTAAGCAGTAGATTTACGCTGTTTTGGTTCTTCCTCTGAAGTCTGAGGTTCTTTTGTCTCTTCTGCTGGGTTTGCAGCTTCTCCATTTAACATCTCAGACTGATTATTGTTGGAAACTTCTTTCATCATATGAGTTTCCACCATATCACCAGTTTAATATTTACCATGATGACAGATTCTATGTCAGTTCCATAGCCAGATAACTGTTCATAACTATTTACTGTGCATCAATTGATCAATTAACACATAGGATCACCTGTCTACAACACCTGTCACAACAATCTGAAATGGATACAAATGAAATTAACAATCTATAAAGTGCTATATCAGGTCCTGACATAGAATAACTATATACTGCCTCATGAAATCCTCCTGAGGAAGTTAAGCTCAAATCTATAGTTAATGAGAAAGAAAACTGCTTGCTTTCAAGTCCTTAATCAATAATATCATGCTATAGGTAATTATTATTAAGATGACAGAAACTGACGTATATAAAGTGAGAATGAGCATAGTAATGCTCTGACAACAACAAAAACAATAAAAGTGGAAATTCCATAGTTGTCAGAACATTAAGAACCAATAACAGGATTTGTAAACTTCAATTTGCTTGTTTATCAATCATGCTTTTTTCAGTTTCTCCCAATCTATTATTATTTATATCTTCAAAGCATTTAAATTTTATAAATCATCATTAATAGTTAATAACTATAATTCTAATGCAATTATTTTGTCTCAATGGTTCTGATTGGATGGCAATCAGCTTACAATTCTCTATCTACCTGTCTGTAACTTAGGGAAGCCGCCATTTTGAATTCCGGAATGTATTGACATGTTATTTCTCCAATAATAAGTAAAAAAGCTCATGTTTTGCATCTAGAAATCTTCTTTATATATGATTTCATTATATTCCAAGGCAGACAAGAAGTCAGAAAATGCCCCGTGATAACGTTTGACACCAGAAGCATACCATGACGCCACCTAGTATAGGTGCCAAAAAAGATAACATCATTTCGCAGAATTTTCGTTTAATGAAAATTTTATACCAAAATAAGGACTGAAATTGAACGATTTGTTTATTTTGCATAAGAATAGAGATAACTGTATTGTTTTTGAAGCTTTGCGGATGTGCATCGGTAGTTTTACTGTTGCAAATATCTGTTTATCTGTCTCCACTATGTGTCACCAGGTGAACTCAATTTGTGACAGTAAAACTACAGATGGACATCAGCAAAGCTTCAAGTACACTACAGTTATCTCCTAAATATACATTATAGCATTGTTTGACTATTTTGGTTCTATTTCCATACACCTTGCTGATTTTTCCTATCTACTTAAAAAAAAAATTAAAAAGCAATAAACAGCTGCGCCATGAGCGCATGATACGCCTGTCGTCTTGTGTGTGAATTTTTTTGCAATAAGCATAAATAGTTTCTGACATACGGCGTGACATGCGAAAACCCCCTTTTTTTTTACAAAAAACTCAATATCTCTAAAATAAAATTTTGAATCAAAACCAAAAGGTATACAGATCTTTAGATTAATATAACTAAGAAGTGTGTAAAATTTTAAGCAATAATCGTAAATCGTTTTTGAGATACGGCGCGACATGTGAAAAACCCCTCCCCCTTTTTTAACAAAATACTCAATATCTCTAAAATAAAATTTTGAATCATCACCAAAAAGTATACAGATCTTAAGATTAATATAACTAAGAAGTGTGTAAAGTTTTAAGCAATAATCATAAATTGTTTTTGAGATACGGCGCGACATGTGAAAAACCCCTCCCCCTTTTTTAACAAAATACTCAATATCTCTAAAATAAAATTTTGAATCATCACCAAAAAGTATACAGATCTTAAGATTAATATAACTAAGAAGTGTGTAAAGTTTTAAGCAATAATCATAAATTTGTTTTTAAGATACGGCGCGACATGTGAAAAAAAACACACACCTGTTTTAGTTACTAAGTCCCGTAACTCAAAAAGTTTTAATCTTATTTTCACCAAAAAGTATACAGATCGTTTGACCATCATAAGAAACAACTATGTTAAGTTTCATGAAATTTGGATAAGTCATTCTCAAGTTACGGTGGGACATGTTTACGCCGGACAGACAGACGGACAGACGGACGGACACCGGACATTTGTATACCATAATACGTCCCGTCAATATAAAAATGCTTTAATTGGTTAGACATTGCCATTTATGGACATTCACTCCTTTAAAGAGTTAATTTATGGTTACAGTCATATCATAATTTTTGTAGATGTATAGCTGAATTTTCCCCTCCTATTCACAATTTCAGTATCATAGTATAGATACTTTATGAATACAAAAGTTTTATATTGAATAAATGATTTGGCTCACATATAACAGTACAAACATAAGCTATTGAGAGCTCTTTACCAAATATAAATAACATATATTAAAACAGAACGCTTGCAGATAAGATGCATATATTTCAATGCATAGATACAGCACAGGCATATAATGCTGTAATAGAGTTCAATGTTAAAAAGGCCAAAATTTAAGAACAACCTCTCACAAGAGCAAATCTATGGTTTCAGTCTTATTAGCAATTTTGCTTATGACAGTTTCTGTCTATATTTTATAATTTTCAAGAAAATAGGCAAAATACCATTTAAGGGCAACAACTTCTATAAGGAATCCATTGATGGTTTCAGTCATCAAGCCTTTTTTGTAGATTTTGTATTGCTCCTATTTTTGCTGCTACCAGTTACTATCTAGCTATTATATTTTTCCAGATTTAAAGGTAAAAGTGGTCATTCAAGGGCAATAACTCCAACAAGGACGATGATATCAGTAGCAATAGAATGTAGGCAGATCTTGATATTCTGAACATTTTACATCATTTGGCATTTCTCTTATCTATAATAAATGTCTAAATATTCAACTAAAATATATATTTTACCCTTAATTTATATCAGCTACAATTTATTTTAAAATCATTGGACAAAAGGTTTAAACCAGATCTGCCAAAGACAGGCCAAGTTTGGTTCCTATTAAGGGAGCTACCATTTGATTTCTATGGGGGGGGGGGGGGGCTAGAATGAAAAATTTTGTCCTGCATTTTTTTTTAGTTGTAATCTCTGTCCTGCCTTTTTATTTTTCACTCTATTAGGTCCTGCCTTTTTTTTCATTAATTTATCCTGATTTTTTTTACATAAATTGTCATGTCATCCTGCCTTTTTTTTTTGCCAAGTTGCTCACCCTGCCTTTTTTTTTAACTCAAAACTCCTGTCCGCCCTTTTTTTTCAAATTTCATCCTAGCCCGCCATAAAAATCAAATGGTAGCTCCCTAACTTACATGTAAAGGTTTGGAATAAAACCACTAATTCATAGCCCCATTGCTTTCTATGTTCAAATCTGCAATTTCAAGTATTCATAGCTATTGCCTTAAGTTCAAATAATGTGACAGTTATTTCATGTCAAAACTATACCTTACCCTGACTTGTGCTGAAAATTCAACATACCTTTAATTGTATATTAGAGCACACTGGTTCAGGGAAGTTTAGAAGTACAAAACCAAGTACTTCTGATCTGAACAACAGGGCAAATAGCCCTCCTATCTTATTTTCATATTTTTTTTTATTACTGATAAGAAACTTTCAACAAGGGTTCTATAGTGATCCCAAGTCCTTAAGCTTTCATTTCATACCAAAATTACCCAAATATTTTACTTATTGACAAAGATAGGAAACTATTTTGTTAAATATGTACTACTTTCTGGTATGTTCTTTCAGAATGGGCCCGAATTAGTGGTTCTATACCTTTTAAGATGGGAAGGGTTTTGAATTTTTTTACAAGGGAAGATAGAGGACAAATGCCAAGAGATGGCAAATTAAAAGCTCAGACTGGCCCAAAGTGAGCTATAAAGGACCTCAGACTAAATTAGCCTTTTTGTATGAACCTTATATATATATTTTCCTTTAAGAAGTTTTGATACCATGCCAAGTTTATTAATTAATCCTACTTTAATGCAACGCCTTAATCCGTTTCTATGCATAAAACCCATTTTTATAAGATAAACCCTGGTAATTATTGAATAAATATTGAACACTTAGAGAAACTTCGTACAATCAACACTATTTTCTAGATAATTAAATTTCACTATTTCACTGAAATACAATATAAATCATCTCTTAGGCATTCAGAAAATAAGATATAAACCATATTTATTCCCAAAACAAACCATTTTATCTTTTTATTTCCTAGAAAACAACAGAGGCATGGGAACAACAACAAATGGTACAAGATTGTAGAAAAAAAAATCATCATTTGCAAATATAAAACAGCTATAAAAACTTTCACTTAGACTTATTAAGTTCTTAATAAATGAATACTGAAGACTTGCTGGTCAATCATTTACACATATTGGTTACAATAATTGACACGTTTGTGTTCATTAAGAACTTATGTGTTTTTAAATACCATAATAATGCATTTGGCCACTTGTAGAATATCACCGATGCAGTTAATACAGACCAAAATGTGAAAAAAATATCAAAAGTAGCTAATGCATAAAATATGTATCATGCTTATCCAAATCTTGTGGAATTGTCTAGGACTATATTTCAGAATTGTTGCAGTGATATATATATATATATATATATATATATATAAACATTGTGGGAGAAGGAATTGCTTATATTGTAAAGCTGTCAATACTAGCAGTTCTTTCATCAGCTCCTTTACAAAACAAAGTTAGAACATCTACAGAATTTCAACTGTAAAACGGAGAACTCAATTTATAAATTAACATGTAACACCTGTGGCATTCAGTACGTGGGAGAAACAGTGAACAAATTTAATATTCGGCTAAATAACCATCGATCATGGTACAAAACCAACAATAAACTGTTAACACAGAGATATGTCTCGCCTTTTTGTAATTTTGCTAATGCAAATGTTGAAATTAAAATAGCAATACTTTAACATGTAAGTTATGCAAATATTCAAAGTCAATGAACCATGACTGAAGGTACATGGCTAAACAATCTCCATGGAAATGAGATGTGCCAATGCTAATACAACTGCAAACCAAATACAATTGACTTATCATAAGTCGTTCCCTTTAAACAAACCTAAACACAAACATTAACTTGTAAACTATGTAAAAGTTTCAAAGTCAATGAACCATGATGAGGAGGTAGGGCTATATAATCTCCATGGAAACAAGACTTGAAAATGCCAATAAATTTGCATACAAAATATCATTGACTAAACATTAGCGGTTCATCTTGAACTGATTTAATCACAAA